TAGTGACAGAAGCAGGTAGTGGGAGTATAGGAAAACTGTTCACCCCAATACAATCTAAACACTTTTGTGTTAGATAAAATTTGAACACTTAAGGTTAGGTTAAAATAAAATGATACATTCAATGGAATGTATCATTTTTGTATATGGGAGTGAAACAGTTAACAATCAATGCTAGCATATTTATAATCAACTTCACTGTATAAATATGAATCATAACAAAGGGGCACAATTGATCTCGGATTATCTTGCCTAATTTCATTACCGTATAATAACGGTCAAATGGTTATGTATCGGTTAACAACAGTTCAAGGTCAAAGGGCATAATATATTTTCAGTACAGGTGCACCTCTACTTACGATCGAGTTATGTTCCCTAGGCTTGTTTGTAAGTCCAACTCTACTCTTGTAGATACCAAACATATTGCAAAAAATGAAAAGATTATGGACATTTAGTACAGCTATACCAATACAACCTGAAAACCTGCACACTCTTTCTCTCTCTTTTGGTAATGTTTGTTCTATCCGGAATTTTCTTTCAAATAATCTAGTCTCATCCACATTAAACACCTGTTCTGGCAGGTAACCTCCCTCAGTGATGATATTTTGTATCTCTGGAAAGTTTGTAAGCAAGTTGGAACGTTTCTAAGAAGTTAGAGGAGCACCTGTACTGTAGTTAAAAAAGGGACACATCTTACCTGCTGTGATGGCAAGTGTACTGGTGAAAACACATTTCTTCAATCTCCATGATCCACCCAAAGTCGATGGACAGTAGCCCTTATTGGACAATTACCTATAACAATTCCAATAACAATAGAATATATATATATATATATATATATATATATATATATATATATATATATATATATATATATATATATATATATATATATATATATATATATATATATATATATATATATATATATATATAAAGAAAATATTGACAAAATTCGAGAAATTCTAAAGGTGACAAAAAAAGTTACTTCCTTTAATCACATACTATCTCTGACAACACATCCTTCTCCACACACACACAAATATGTTTAAGTAATATATCTTCACAAAAAGCTATTAGCAAATAAACCCATGAATGACTTCCTTGACCAATTCTTCCCAAAGACCTCCTTGGCACTACTAAAATATACATTTTTCTTTCATCTTTTTTTACAAATAACCACTCACTTGGTATAATTTAAAACTCTTTTCAGCTAATTAAGGATCCGCTAACAATGCACTACAGAACTTTGACATAAAAGGAGGTTTAAATAAATACGTTACTTTACACATGCAAACTTGTGTATAGGTGAACAAAGGCAGTTTTGTGTGCCAGGAATACAATCCCTCTATAATAGACTATAGGAGATAACTGTAAGTCAGGCAAGTTACTATAGCTAGAGGTACAGGCACCTCCAGGTGTGTTGGTAACCAACACTCTGCGAGGCGAGAGTACTGTACATTAATTTTTCCTATATAATTCTCCACAACTAACCACTCAAACTGCTCGATAGTGACAGAAGCAGGTAGTGGGAGTATAGGAAAACTGTTCACCCCAATACAATCTAAACACTTTTGTGTTAGATAAAATTTGAACACTTAAGGTTAGGTTAAAATAAAATGATACATTCAATGGAATGTATCATTTTTGTATATGGGAGTGAAACAGTTAACAATCAATGCTAGCATATTTATAATCAACTTCACTGTATAAATATGAATTATAACAAAGGGGCACAATTGATCTCGGATTATCTTGCCTAATTTCATTACCGTATAATAACGGTCAAATGGTTATGTATCGGTTAACAACAGTTCAAGGTCAAAGGGCATAATATATTTTCAGTACAGGTGCACCTCTACTTACTAACGAGTTATGTTCCCTAGGCTTGTTTGTAAGTCCAACTCTACTCTTATAGATACCAAACATATTGCAAAAAATGAAAAGATTATGGACATTTAGTACAGCTATACCCTTAATACAACCTGAAAACCTGGCACACTCTTCTCCTCTTTGGTAATGTTTGTTCTATCTGGAATTTTCTTCAAATAATCTAGTCTCATCCACATTAAACACCTGTTCTGGCAGGTAACCCCCTCAGTGATGATATTTGTATCTCTGAAAGTTTGTAAGTTGAACGTTCTTAAGAAGAGGAGCACCTGTACTGTAGTTAAAAAAGGGACACATCTTACCTGCTGTGATGGCAAGTGTACTGGTGAAAACACAATTCTTCAATCTCCATGATCCACCCAAAGTCGATGGACAGTAGCCCTTATTGGACAATTACCTATAACAATTCCAATATCAATAGAATATATATATATATATATATATATATATATATATATATATATATATATATATATATATATATATATATATATATATATATATATATATATATATATATATATATATATATATATATATATATATATATATATATATATATATATATATATATATATATATATATATAAAGAAAATATTGACAAAATTCGAGAAATTCTAAAGGTGACAAAAAAAGTTACTTCCTTTAATCACATACTACCTCTGACAACACATCCTTCTCCACACACACACAAATATGTTTAAGTAATATATCTTCACAAAAAGCTATTAGCAAATAAACCCATGAATGACTTCCTTGACCAATTCTTCCCAAAGACCTCCTTGGCACTACTAAAATATACATTTTTCTTTCTTCTTTTTTTACAAATAACCACTCACTTGGTATAATTTAAAACTCTTTTCAGCTAATTAAGGATCCGCTAACAATGCACTACAGAACATTGACATAAAAGGAGGTTTAAATAAATAAGTTACTTTACACATGCAAACTTGTGTATAGGTGAACAAAGGCAGTTTTGTGTGCCAGGAATACAATCCCTCTATAATAGACTATAGGAGATAACTGTAAGTCAGGCAAGTTACTATAGCTAGAGGTACAGGCACCTCCAGGTGTGTTGGTAACCAACACTCTGCGAGGCGAGAGTACTGTACATTAATTTTTCCTATATAATTCTCCACAACTAACCACTCAAACTGCTCGATAGTGACAGAAGCAGGTAGTGGGAGTATAGGAAAACTGTTCACCCCAATACAATCTAAACACTTTTGTGTTAGATAAAATTTGAACACTTAAGGTTAGGTTAAAATAAAATGATACATTCAATGGAAAGTATCATTTTTGTATATGGGAGTGAAACAGTTAACAATCAATGCTAGCATATTTATAATCAACTTCACTGTATAAATATGAATTATAACAAAGGGGCACAATTGATCTCGGATTATCTTGCCTAATTTCATTACCGTATAATAATGGTCAAATGGTTATGTATCGGTTAACAACAGTTCAAGGTCAAAGGGCATAATATATTTTCAGTACAGGTGCACCTCTACTTATGAACGAGTTATGTTCCCGAGGCTTGTTTCTAAGTCCAACTTTACTCTTGTAGATACCAAACATATTGCAAAAAATGAAAAGATATGGACATTTAGTACAGCCATACCCTTTAATACAGCCTGAAACCTGGTACACTCTTCTCTTTGGTACGTTTGTCTATCCGGAATTTTCTTCAAATAATCTAGCTTCATCCACATTAAACACCTGTTCTGCAGGTAACCCCCTCAGTGATGATGTTTTATCTCTGAAAGTTTGTAAGTTGAACGCTCTAAGAAGAGGAACACCTGTACTGTAGTTAAAAGGGACACATCTTACCTGCCAGATGGTGCAAGTGTGTACTGGTGAAAACATTTCAATCTCCATGAAAGTAAGGTCAAAGCCCATGGACAGCATTCTTATTGGACAATCACCTATAACAATCTAACAACAACAGAATATATATATATATATATATATATATATATATATATATATATATATATATATATATATATATATATATATATATATATATATATATATATATATATATATATATAAAGAAAATATTGACAAAATTCGAGAAATTCTAAAGGTGACAAAAAAAGTTACTTCCTTTAATCACATACTATCTCTGACAACACATCCTTCTCCACACACACACAAATATGTTTAAGTAATATATCTTCACAAAAAGCTATTAGCAAATAAACCCATGAATGACTTCCTTGACCAATTCTTCCCAAAGACCTCCTTGGCACTACTAAAATATACATTTTTCTTTCTTCTTTTTTTACAAATAACCACTCACTTGGTATAATTTAACTCTCTTTTCAGCTAATTAAGGATCTGCTAACAATGCACTACAGAACTTTGACATAAAAGGAGGTTTAAATAAATAAGTTACTTTACACATGCAAACTTGTGTATAGGTGAACAAAGGCAGTTTTGTGTGCCAGGAATACAATCCCTCTATAATAGACTATAGGAGATAACTGTAAGTCAGGCAAGTTACTATAGCTAGAGGTACAGGCACCTCCAGGTGTGTTGGTAACCAACACTCTGCGAGGCGAGAGTACTGTACATTAATTTTTCCTATATAATTCTCCACAACTAACCACTCAAACTGCTCGATAGTGACAGAAGCAGGTAGTGGGAGTATAGGAAAACTGTTCACCCCAATACAATCTAAACACTTTTGTGTTAGATAAAATTTAAATACTTAAGGTTAGGTTAAAATAAAATGATACATTCAATGGAAAGTATCATTTTTGTATATGGGAGTGAAACAGTTAACAATCAATGCTAGCATATTTATAATCAACTTCACTGTATAAATATGAATTATAACAAAGGGGCACAATTGATCTCGGATTATCTTGCCTAATTTCATTACCGTATAATAATGGTCAAATGGTTATGTATCGGTTAACAACAGTTCAAGGTCAAAGGGCATAATATATTTTCAGTACAGGTGCACCTCTACTTATGAACGAGTTATGTTCCCGAGGCTTGTTTCTAAGTCCAACTTTACTCTTGTAGATACCAAACATATTGCAAAAAATGAAAAGATTATGGACATTTAGTACAGCTATACCCTTAATACAGCCTGAAAACCTGGCACACTCTTCTCTCCTCTTTGGTAATGCTTTTGTTCTATCCGGAATTTTCTTCAAATATCTTAGTCTCATCCACATTAAACACCTGTTCTGCAGTAACTCTCAGTGATGGATATTTGTATCTCTGAAAGCTTGTAAGTTGAACGCTCTAAGAAGAGGAGCACCTGTACTGTAGTTAAAAAAGGGACACATCTTACCTGCTGTGATGGCAAGTGTACTGGTGAAAACACAATTCTTCAATCTCCATGATCCACCCAAAGTCGATGGACAGTAGCCCTTATTGGACAATTACCTATAGCAATTCCAATATAAAAATAATATATATATATATATATATATATATATATATATATATATATATATATATATATATATATATATATATATATATATATATATATATATATATATATATATATAAAAAAAATATATATATATATATATATATATATATATATATATATATATATATATATATATATATATATATATATATAAAGAAAATATTGACAAAATTCAGAAATTCAGTTAGTGACAAAAGTTACTTCCTTTAATCACATACTATCTCTGACAACACATCCTTCTCCACACACACACAAATATGTTTAAGTAATATATCTTCACAAAAAGCTATAAGCAAATGAACCCATGAATGACTTCCTTGACCAACTCTTCCCAAAGACCTCCTCGGCACTACTAAAATATACATTTTTCTTTCTTCTTTTTTTACAAATAACCACTCACTTGGTATAATTTAAAACTCTTTTCAGCTAATTAAGGATCAGCTAACAATGCACTACAGAACTTTGACATAAAAGGAGGTTTAAATAAATACGTTACTTTACACATGCAAACTTATGTATAGGTGAACAAAGGCAGTTTTGTGTGCCAGGAATACAATCCCTCTATAATAGATTATAAGAGATAACTGTAAGTCAGGCAAGTTACTCTAGCTAGAGGTACAGGCACCTCCAGGTGTGTTGGTAACCAACACTCTGCGAGGCGAGAGTACTGTACATTAATTTTTCCTATATAATTCTCCACAACTAACCACTCAAACTGCTCGATAGTGACAGAAGCAGGTAGTGGGAGTATAGGAAAACTGTTCACCCCAATACAATCTAAACACTTTTGTGTTAGATAAAATTTGAACACTTAAGGTTAGGTTAAAATAAAATGATACATTCAATGGAATGTATCATTTTTGTATATGGGAGTGAAACAGTTAACAATCAATGCTAGCATATTTATAATCAACTTCACTGTATAAATATGAATTATAACAAAGGGGCACAATTGATCTCGGATTATCTTGCCTAATTTCATTACCGTATAATAACGGTCAAATGGTTATGTATCGGTTAACAACAGTTCAAGGTCAAAGGGCATAATATATTTTCAGTACAGGTGCACCTCTACTTACGATCGAGTTATGTTCCCTAGGCTTATTTGTAAGTCCAACTCTACTCTTGTAGATACCAAACATATTGCAAAAAATGAAAAGATTATGGACATTTAGTACAGCTATACCCTTAATACAACCTGAAAACCTGGCACACTCTTCTCCTCTTTGGTAATGTTTGTTCTATCCGGAATTTTCTTCAAATAATCTAGTCTCATCCACATTAAACACCTGTTCTGGCAGATAACCCCCTCAGTGATGATATTTGTATCTCTGAAAGTTTGTAAGTTGAACGTTCTTAAGAAGAAGAGCACCTGTACTGTAGTTAAAAAGGACACATCTTACCTGCTGTGAGTAGCAGGAGTGGCTGAGGTGACAACACAATTCTTCAATCATGATCCACCCAAAGTCGATGGACAGTAGCCCACCCATTGGACAATTACTATAACAATTCAATATCAATGGAAACATATATATATGCTCAGCATATATATGCTGTATATATATATATGCTCTGTATATATAAATGTAAATGTATGTATGTAGCAACGCTGCTGCTGCTGCTGCTGTATATGTAAATAGCCAGCCAACATGTATAGCAACAATAGCTGCTGCTGCTCTTAACCAACAACATATGCTCACTGCTCTGCTCTTGCTGCTGTATAAAGAAAATATTGACAAAATTCGAGAAATTCTAAAGGTGACAAAAAAAGTTACTTCCTTTAATCACATACTATCTCTGACAACACATCCTTCTCCACACACACACAAATATGTTTAAGTAATATATCTTCACAAAAAGCTATTAGCAAATGAACCCATGAATGACTTCCTTGACCAATTCTTCCCAAAGACCTCCTTGGCACTACTAAAATATACATTTTTCTTTCTTCTTTTTTTACAAATAACCACTCACTTGGTATAATTTAACTCTCTTTTCAGCTAATTAAGGATCTGCTAACAATGCACTACAGAACTTTGACATAAAAGGAGGTTTAAATAAATAAGTTACTTTACACATGCAAACTTGTGTATAGGTGAACAAAGGCAGTTTTGTGTGCCAGGAATACAATCCCTCTATAATAGACTATAGGAGATAACTGTAAGTCAGGCAAGTTACTATAGCTAGAGGTACAGGCACCTCCAGGTGTGTTGGTAACCAACACTCTGCGAGGCGAGAGTACTGTACATTAATTTTTCCTATATAATTCTCCACAACTAACCATTCAAACTGCTCGTTAGTGACAGAAGCAGGTAGTGGGAGCATAGGAAAACTGTTCACCCCAATACAATCTAAACACTTTTGTGTTAGATAAAATTTGAACACTTAAGGTTAGGTTAAAATAAAATGATACATTCAATGGAATGTATCATTTTTGTATATGGGAGTGAAACAGTTAACAATCAATGCTAGCATATTTATAATCAACTTCACTGTATAAATATGAATTATAACAAAGGGGCACAATTGATCTCGGATTATCTTGCCTAATTTCATTACCGTATAATAATGGTCAAATGGTTATGTATCGGTTAACAACAGTTCAAGGTCAAAGGGCATAATATATTTTCAGTACAGGTGCACCTCTACTTATGAACGAGTTATGTTCCCGAGGCTTGTTTCTAAGTCCAACTTTACTCTTGTAGATACCAAACATATTGCAAAAAATGAAAAGATTATGGACATTTAGTACAGCTATACCCTTAATACAGCCTGAAAACCTGGCACACTCTTCTCCTCTTTGGTAATGTTTGTTCTATCCGGAATTTTCTTCAAATAATCTAGTCTCATCCACATTAAACACCTGTTCTGGCAGGTAACCCCCCTCAGTGATGATATTTGTATCTCTGAAAGTTTGTAAGTTGAACGTTCTTAAGAAGAGGAGCACCTGTACTGTAGTTAAAAAAGGGACACATCGTACCTGCTGTGATGGCAAGTGTACTGGTGAAAACACAATTCTTCAATCTCCATGATCCACCCAAAGTCGATGGACAGTAGCCCTTATTGGACAATTACCTATAGCAATTCCAATATTAAAATAATATATATATATATATATATATATATATATATATATATATATATATATATATATATATATATATATATATATATATATATATATATATATATATAAAGAAAATATTGACAAAATTCGAGAAATTCTAAAGGTGACAAAAAAAGTTACTTCCTTTAATCACATACTACCTCTGACAACACATCCTTCTCCACACACACACAAATATGTTTAAGTAATATATCTTCACAAAAAGCTATTAGCAAATAAACCCATGAATGACTTCCTTGACCAATTCTTCCCAAAGACCTCCTTGGCACTACTAAAATATACATTTTTCTTTCTTCTTTTTTTACAAATAACCACTCACTTGGTATAATTTAAAACTCTTTTCAGCTAATTAAGGATCCGCTAACAATGCACTACAGAACATTGACATAAAAGGAGGTTTAAATAAATAAGTTACTTTACACATGCAAACTTGTGTATAGGTGAACAAAGGCAGTTTTGTGTGCCAGGAATACAATCCCTCTATAATAGACTATAGGAGATAACTGTAAGTCAGGCAAGTTACTATAGCTAGAGGTACAGGCACCTCCAGGTGTGTTGGTAACCAACACTCTGCGAGGCGAGAGTACTGTACATTAATTTTTCCTATATAATTCTCCACAACTAACCACTCAAACTGCTCGATAGTGACAGAAGCAGGTAGTGGGAGTATAGGAAAACTGTTCACCCCAATACAATCTAAACACTTTTGTGTTAGATAAAATTTGAACACTTAAGGTTAGGTTAAAATAAAATGATACATTCAATGGAAAGTATCATTTTTGTATATGGGAGTGAAACAGTTAACAATCAATGCTAGCATATTTATAATCAACTTCACTGTATAAATATGAATTATAACAAAGGGGCACAATTGATCTCGGATTATCTTGCCTAATTTCATTACCGTATAATAATGGTCAAATGGTTATGTATCGGTTAACAACAGTTCAAGGTCAAAGGGCATAATATATTTTCAGTACAGGTGCACCTCTACTTATGAACGAGTTATGTTCCCGAGGCTTGTTTCTAAGTCCAACTTTACTCTTGTAGATACCAAACATATTGCAAAAAATGAAAAGATTATGGACATTTAGTACAGCTATACCCTTAATACAGCCTGAAAACCTGGCACACTCTTCTCTTTGGTAATGTTTGTTCTATCCGGAATTTTCTTCAAATAATCTAGTCTCATCCACATTAAACACCTGTTCTGGCAGGTAACCCCCCTCAGTGATGATATTTGTATCTCTGAAAGTTTGTAAGTTGAACGTTCTTAAGAAGAGGAACACCTGTACTGTAGTTAAAAAAGGGACACATCTTACCTGCTGTGATGGCAAGTGTACTGGTGAAAACACAATTCTTCAATTTCCATGATCCACCCAAAGTCGATGGACAGTAGCCCTTATTGGACAATTACCTATAACAATTCCAATATTAAAATAATATATATATATATATATATATATATATATATATATATATATATATATATATATATATATATATATATATATATATATATATATATATATATATATATATATATATATATATATATATATATATATATATATATATATATATATATATATATATATATATATATATATAAAGAAAATATTGACAAAATTCGAGAAATTCTAAAGGTGACAAAAAAAGTTACTTCCTTTAATCACATACTCTCTCTGACAACACATCCTTCTCCACACACACACAAATATGTTTAAGTAATATATCTTCACAAAAAGCTATTAGCAAATGAACCCATGAATGACTTCCTTGACCAACTCTTCCCAAAGACCTCCTCGGCACTACTAAAATATACATTTTTCTTTCTTCTTTTTTTACAAATAACAACACTCACTTGGTATAATTTAAAACTCTTTTCAGCTAATTAAGGATCAGCTAACAATGCACTACAGAACTTTGACATAAAAGGAGGTTTAAATAAATACGTTACTTTACACATGCAAACTTGTGTATAGGTGAACAAAGGCAGTTTTGTGTGCCAGGAATACAATCCCTCTATAATAGACTATAGGAGATAACTGCAAGTCAGGCAAGTTACTCTAGCTAGAGGTACAGGCACCTCCAGGTGTATTGGTAACCAACACTCTGCGAGGCGAGAGTACTGTACATTAATTTTTCCTATATAATTCTCCACAACTAACCACTCAAACTGCTCGATAGTGACAG